CTCTTGTCCTGTTAGGTTGATGGAAAAGTAATTGCAGGTTTTTTTTTTTCCATTAAAAGTAATGGCAAGAACCGCAATTACTTTTGCACCAAAATACTTCTCATTTATCCTGTCCCCATTAAGTGATGGTTCATAATCCATTATTTAAATCTAAGCTGCACGTTTAGTTGGGAGTCATATACTTTGGAGGTTGGATAAAGTTTAATTTCTGTTTATTTTATTATGCATCTGTGTCTTTGATAAAATTTGGAAAGATTCCCAAAGACCTGTGGGCACTTGGCATGTTTTTAAAGCTATGGGAACCAACAAATGAATCTGGATCTCGAGCACAGTCTCTCCTATGAAAGGGAAAACAATCCATGAACTCAGGCTGGGCTTCCTGTTTTCCCTTGAATGCCCAGTACACAAACGTCGAGACTGAACTCGGGTCTACTGACCTTGAAGCACCAGGCAGCACCTTCGAAATGCTATCTGAAGGTACGCCATTGTGGTATTGTAAAATGCATGTTTGGGCTTCCTACCCATTTCCTGACATACAACTCCAAAAATTCTTGGAATCTTCAGTGATATGTGTCTTTCTGTGTGCCAATGAGCTGACTGGTGGCCGGCAGCCCCTAGATAGTATCTTCAGGATGGGGGCTGGTCACCAGAAAGACCAAGGCAGGACTAGAAGACGGGGACTTTCAGCCCCAACCTCACCTCCAGGGAGAGGAGAGGGGCCGAAGTTTAAGTTGATCACCAATAGCCACTGGTTTTATCCATCATGCCCACATAATAAAGCCTCTATAAAAACTCAAAAGGACAGTGGTGTGAGAGCTTCCAGATAGCTAAACTCATGGAGGTTCCTGAAGGGTGGTGCTCCTGGGGAGCTCATGGAAGCTTCACACCTCTTCTCCCACACCTTGCCCTATGCATCTCTTCATCTGTATCCTTTGTAAGGTCCTTTATCATAAACCAGTAAACATGTTTCTCTGAGCTGCTCTAGCAAACTGATTGAAGCCAAGGAAAGGGTTGTGAGAACCCCAATTTGTAGCCAGTAGGTCAGAAACACTGGCAAAATAACCTGGAGCTTGCAATTGGCATCAGAAGTTAGAGGTGGAGGCAATCTTGGGGACTGAGCCCTCAGCCTGTGGGATCTGATGTTATCTCCAGGTAGATAGGTTGGAGTCAAACTGGGCCAGAGGATACCCAGCTGGTGTCCCCTCCAGAACTGATTGATTGCTTGCTTGTCAGTGGGGAGACATCCCACACATGTGGTCACAGGAGTCTTCTGTGTTGATTGTTGTGGTATGAGAGCAGAGGACAAACAGTTTGAGTTTTTCCACACTCAGCCATCATCCATGACAAATTCCCTGATCACAATCACAATTCCTTCACCTTCACGGATGCCTTTTGCTGGAGCTCCAGAAGAAGCTACCAGGTTTTAGACCCCAACCTATTGTTCTTTAGACATGTGGTGAGAAGTGCCTGCTTTGATCTGAGGAAACAGAATAGCAATTTCTGAGTACCTGCCCTATACCAGATATTGAGCTAGACAGCTGGGAAGTATAGAGATGGAATTGACTCTCTCTCTTCAAAGGGCCTTGAGACATATAGTTAAAGAATTATAACACAAGGTAAACCACAAGACATGCCCTTAAAAAGTACAGAATGTTGGCTAGGTGTGGTGGCTCTCAGCTGTAATCCCAGCACTTTGGGAGGCTAAGGTGAGTGGATCGCTTGAGGTCAGGAGTTCAGGTCGAGCCTAGCCAACATGGTGAAACCCTGTCTCTACTAAAAATACAAAAAATTAGCTGAGGTGGTGGCACGAGCCTGTAATGCCAGTTACTTGGGAGGCTGAGACAGGAGAATCGCTTGAACCCAGGAGGCAGAGGTTGCAATGAGCTGAGATTATGCCACTGCACTCCAGCTTGGGCAACAGAAGGAGACTTGGTAAGTACAGAATGTTAGAGGAGTGAAGAGGAAGGAGTAATCAGGAAATAGTATTACAGCTTTAAAAAGATTCCCATTTTGACAAAGGTGAAAGTCAAGGCAAGTCAGATATGGTGCAAAGAGGGAAGCAGGTTCTATCAACAGGCAGTGGTCAGGTGGTGCAGGACCTAAAATATCCTGGTCTGACTTTCAAGGTGCTCCTCAGCAGATACTGAGTCATCTTAGCGTCTCCCTGTCACCCAGGCCCTATGGTGTAACTATCTTCATCCACCCTAGGCACTTTGTCCAGCCACCCACCAGACAGGAAACTTCTTGACCTGTCTGTATGAACAGACAGCTGCTGTAAACTGGCATTCAGCTTTTGCTAAACAGCTCCTGGGGGCCAAAGTCATCTTCCAGACCTAGAGAAGGAAGAGTTATTTTCCAGGAGGACTACTCTTTAAAAAGCATGACACAGGCATGTCACAGCCATGCCCTTTACATGCCCCTGAAGGAAAGCTGTTAAAGACCAGAGCAAGAGTGGAGAGATAAGAAGAGCTACCCTGAATATAAATGACCTCTTGCACCCCGGTCTGTGGCCAGAGCATGGTCCCAGGGGAGCTGTGTTCCTCCTCCAGTGAATTAGGCCAGCTGTCCACAAACTGAAGAATGTCACCCTTAGACGGGATGTGTGTTCCACATCCTCAACCTCTGCATGTCCTCCTTAAAACTGACTGTCAGGGAAGTTCCTGGGGCAGCTCAGTGGGCTGCTCCCCTGCCTCTTGTACCTTTCACAATCTCCCTTCTCTCTGTTTACAAGAGAAGACATACACCTTTTACCATCCTGAAACTTATTATAATACACTGTCCTGGTAATCCCAGCACTTTGGGAGGCCGAGGCGGGTGGATCACCTGAGGTCGGGAGTTCAAGACCAGCCTGACCAACATGGAGAAACCCAGTCCCTACTAAAAATACAAAGTTAGCCAGGCGTGGTGGCACAAGCCCGTAATCCCAGCTACTCGGGAGGCTGAGGCAGGGGAATCACTTGAACCTGGGAGGTGGAGGTTGTGGTGAGCCAACATCATGCCATTGCACTCCAGCCTGGGCAACAAGAGCGAAACTTCGTCTCAAAAAAAAAAAAAGAACTTGCACCAAACAATGGGACAATAAGAAAATTTACAGCTAAGACAGGAGAGTCCCATGAAAGTAAAACTCCTTTTGCTTTCTCAGAAGGCACCCCTAAAGGGGCAATGACTGGGTCACCTGCACCAGCTCTATCTAGTCACCTGCCTCAGTGTTAAAAGTCAGCAGTGCAACGATGTCCTCCAAAGCACAGTTCTGTTGAATTTAAGTCAGTCAGTGATATGCTTTGGCTGTGTCTCCACCCAAATCTCATCTTGAATTGTAGCTTCCATAATTCCCACGTGTTGTGGGAGGGTGCCAGTGGGAGATCATTGAATCATGGGGGCGGTTTCCCACATACTGTTCTCATGGTAATGAATAAGTCTCACAACATGATGGTTTTATACGGAGTTTCCCCTTTCGCTTGACTCTGTTTCTCTCTTGTCTGCTGCCATGTAAGACGTCCCATTGCTCTTCCTTCATCTTCCACCATGATTACAAGGCCTCTCCAGCCATGTGGACTGTGAGTCCATTAAACCTCCTTTTCTTTATAAATTACCCAGTCTCGGATAAGTCTTTATCAGCAGCATGATTAATACAGTCAAGTAAACTATTTTTCTGTCAGAAAGCAATTCAAAGTTAGCTGATTGGTTTGACAATGAGGGCTGGCTTTGCCCACCAGGTGATACAGAAGGTGTTTTTCATAAACTAAACTGGATATACTCAATCTGCAACTATTTGAAGCTCAGAAAATGTGTGGGAAAGAACATCCTTTGCAACTATTAACCTGATGAGGCAAATTTAGATGTCAACTTAAAAACATGCAAGGAGGCACATGATTATTCACAATTGTTTTGTGGGGGGATGTGAGAAAATCTGGAAGACCACTGAATCTTCCAGTTCTCTTCAAATTAACCAGTGTTGGGAAGTTCATTTAACCACCTAGAGTTGTGATCCTAGTTTTACTCTGCAGAGGGCAGCATCGCTAAAATATTATTCGACTGTAAAGAAAGGATTTTTTGTTTTTTAAACAAGCTCTTTTTAGGCTAACTTATCTCTCCTGTCTTGTGACAATTTTTTTTTTAATTTTTAATTTTTGTGGGTACATAGTAGGTCTATATATTTGTGGGGTACATGAGATATTTGGGTACAAGCATGTAATGCATAATAATCACATCATGGAAAGTAGGGTATCCATCCCCTCAAGCATGTATCCTTTGTGTTACAAACCATCCAACTATACTGTTTTAGTTATTTTTAAATGTACAATTAAATTATTATTGACTACAGTCACCCTGTTGTGCTATCACACAGCTAATCCTAAGCTTCAGCATTTGTGGCCTCAAGGAGAGAGTTACTATTTGACCAGAACAGAAACACAAAAGGCCTCTGTGTCAGGCACATTTTTCCAGGGCGGAAACAGCATTTTTTTCCTTTTCTAAACAATTATCTTTCTTTCCGGAGTCTAACATGGGGCCCAGCACCAACAAGCGAGTGCCCAAAAACTGTATGATGAATGGAAAGTAGAGCAGTCTCCAACTCCAGGGAAACTTTGGGTTAAACATGCAAGACATGGCTCACCAGCATTCCTGAAACCCTAAAACCCCGCTTGATCAGATTGCTCCAAGTTCAAACAGTCCTTAGAAAGAGCAGCCACCACCTGGAAGGACTTTGGCACCGGCTGACACAAAATGGCCTGACTCCAGCTACACCTGGTTACGGTGCTCTTTGGCCCCCGGAAATCTTCTGATGCCATTTCACTAAGAAAGTCACATGATTTTCTTACAGTTAGTAAATTCCTGCCAGGCCTTAAATAAATGGCCAAAATTCTACACTTAAAGCGCAGGTTAAGTACGGAGACAAATTATCCATACTTCCAGGTGAATTCAGCTGTATCAGGAATTGAAACTTGCTCTCAAAATAAGAAAGGAAAGGGAGATCAGGTTGAAAGAAAAAGCATGAAGTAATGAATTTTGACTCTGAGGCTCTCAATTCCTCTTTTCCAACCTTGTGTCTCCTCCTTGTGGTGTTCAGCTCCTACCCCCAGCTAAGTGTCTGCAAGTTATTTCTGGCTGCAGAAATTGTCTTCAGGCAAGTTTTAACTTGTGGGTGTTAACTGCTGCCACCAGGGCATTTGAGTATTTGTTTCATTTGAACTAAAATAAAGGCTTATGCTTCCTGTAAAGAGATCTTGGCATCAGGAACAAGTGTGGCAGGGAGCGTTTCCAGAGAACAGGCTCTCTGGCTGCTGCTAAGCCTGGAGACAGGCAGAGGAGGAATACAGAGGCCTCCACCCAGTATCCTCCCATGGAGATGCAAAGGTCCCACCACGAATAAGACAGGATGGGATTGAGTCAAGGTCTGTTGAACTAGAAACCTGTGTTCTTAACTCACCAACTCTGCTATTCTCACTCTCTGGACTGGCCCAGACTGGCCCTGGACAGGCTCAATACACGTTTGTTGAGTTAAAAACAAACAAACAAAATATCATTGAGAAAGAAAAGAAACTTTACCTGAAGAACGTGAACCATTTTTAATTATCAGGCCCAAAGAGGCATTGAAATGTGACAGCAATTACGCCTCACTCCCCGCCTTGAGCTAAGTAATCACCTCTTGAAGCCACTTGCTATGTGGGCTCAAGACTGACTGACACCAAGTGGCCATACATGAACCTAACAATGCCATATGCTAGATACCATAACTCTTACCCTATAGCTCAACAAGGTATAGCCAATCACGAATCAATATTACGTCTGTAAGCCCATGAGAATTTCTGTCAAACAACTTTGTATCAGACTAATCCTTGTTTTCTTTTGCCTTTAGAAATCTGCTTGTGGTCAGGTGTCGGGGCTCATGCCTGTAATCCCAGTATTTTGGGAGGCTGAGGCAAGAGGATCACTTGAGCCTGGAAGTTCAAGACCAGCCTGGGCAATACAGGGAGACCTTGTCTCTATGAAAAATTTAAAAATTAGCCAGGCATGGTGGCATGTACCTGTAATCCCAGCTACTTGGGAGGCTGAGATGGGAGAGTTGCTTGAGGCCAGCAGGCCAAGGCTGCAGTTAGCCATGATCGTGCCACTGCACACCAGTCTGGGTGATGGCGTGAGACCGTGTCTCAAAAAACAAACCAAAAAAAAAAAAAAAAAAAGACCCTGCCTGTAACAAATACATAAGGGAGCACTTCCAAGACAACTTGGAAGTGTTTCCCAGGCCACTGTCCTCACTGTGACTCAAGTTAACTCCTTAAAATTGTATTTTGTGTCTCAGCTTCTTCCTTTAGGTTAACTCCCATGCAGGGCTTTGAAAGAAATAAAAGGATATTACATCCTCTTGTATCAGTCTTGTAAGTAAAAATCACTAGTAAATACAATATTCATGGTCATAGCTAATATACTATTTCCATTTGTGTCTTAGAAGGAGGAAGGGAAGGGAGAAGGAAAGGTGAGAGGAGAGGACATGATATCTTTGACCTGTGTCCACCTCTCTTTCCCAATAGGCAAATGGAGAACCTGCTCTCTGGGAGAACAGTCAAATCAGTCCCACGGCCCTCTTCTCCCCGCAAGAACTACTGGTTCCTTCCTTCAGAGGAAGATGTGTTATCCCTACCAGAAGTGGTGAGCGCCTGGATTCCAAAAGGGTTAAGAATTTGTAGACGTGACCTGCCTCATTCTGAAGAACCTCGGCCCCGCAGGTATATGAAGCAATTAATTGCTCCACAAACCCTGAGAATTTCATCACGGGCCAGAGTAACGCTGAGGAGCTGTCCTCTCTTCTGCTCGAGTGTCTTCACTCTGGGGATTCGGGCAGGCTGGTTTCCTGGACAGATGTTTCTCATCCACACCTGTGGACCTCAGGAAACCAAGGGGGACCTCTGCAGGCATGGCCTTGATTTCCTTTCCACCAATGCCCATGAGATGTGGAAATTGAAGGAACATCCACACCAGGACCATACACTGAAACAAGCAGGTCGGGGCAGGGAAACTCCATCACATCATCATGAGGAAGAGATGCTGCGGCCCCCCAGACCATTGTGTAGTAGAGGCGGCGTCATTTTACTATGTCTCCTCCCTGCCCTCAGTGAAGTCTGTGAAGGGAGGGGTCAGTGCAGCAAGGAGCTTGCTTTGCCCCAGAGGAGAGGGTGGAATATTCAAGGACACATGAAGGCAGTTACTCTGCCTACCTTTTAAAACCCTTTCCTCCTGGGGAACAGGTTTATTATGTACTCTTAAACAGACTATATCCATTTATTCACTCCTATAAATATTTGAGAAAAACCTACTATATGCCAAGCACTTTTCTAGGCAAAGGAAATGCAATAGCCCTTTCTTTCCATAACTTCCAGCCTGGTGGGGAATAAAGGAATTAAATAAGCAATTACAATAAAAGGTGCTCAGTGTCATAACAGGAGGGGTACAAGTGCCACAGAGCAGGTGCACCTAACGTAATTCAGGCTGTTTCTGCCAGCTGTGGGATTTCATTTCATCCTACTTGTAAGCTGATTCGTTAGCCTGTTACTGTATCATGGATGTTGTCAGACGACATGAGACTCCTGGGTCAGAGACAAGGGGCCTTATTACTCACAGTCACAAAGCAGCATAAGCATTATGTTTGAGTTGTTTTCCTTCCTTCCAAGTCCCAGAGGACAACATGGGGCTCAGATAAATGCTGTCATGCAGTAGGTTGTATTACAGGAGAAGAACCTAGGCTTGGGAAATCCACCTCTTTCATAGCCAGTGGTAAGGAAACCTGCTCTTTGTTGTGGGGAGATATTATCTCATCCCTCAAGGTTATTCACAGCAAATAACCTGAGAAAGGGCCCAAGTGAAAAACAGTCAAGCCCTTGCATTCTTGGAAAAACCAGCAAGAACATTCTGAGCTCAAGTACAAGGATGCTCAGGGCCTCTCATAATAGTTCTCCAGGAATTCAAATTTGGAATCCCCCTTCAAGCTCCCACTGCTTGAAGCCTTCTCAGACCCACAGCTCTCTCTTTCATCCAGAATTCTTTTTACCTTTACCTTCCATTTTGATATTTAATTATGTGTTGCTTTTTATTGTCATCTTTTGTAGTCCCACAATGTCACCCACAAATAATGGCTCCAAAACAACTTCTGAAGAAATAAAAAGAAAGCCCTTCTGTAGCTACCTGTAGGTGACAGGTGGACAGAGAAGAGGCAGGAACTCTTCATTTGTGATATTCACTCTGAAATTACCTTGGGTAAAAATTTCTTCCTGGCCTGTAAATTGAAGATAATGATATTTGCCTACCTTGCCTTTTGAATTAATTAGTGGTTGTGTTGCATTTTGAGTCTACAGATGAAAGCCTTTTTGTAAGTACAGGGCACCATCATGGTCATCATTATCACCACCATCATCATCTTCATCATCATTGCTATCATTGCCTTGGGTTCTGAAGATAAAAGTGATGGAATTCCCACACAGAGCTTCCGAGAAACTTGACCTTTCTAGCCCTTTCAACCTCCTCCTCTATGCTTTTTAGAAGGACTAACTCACTTTCCCCTTTTTTGAGACCTCACTGTTAGGAACTGAGAACCAGCCATAATTTCTGAGACACCTATGTTTTGTGCACTCTAACTTGACTGTGCATTTCTCTTGGCAATCAAGCCTAGACCTTTCAACCATACTTCAAATCCAGAACATAAAAGAGCTCTATTAGAAGCAGAGGTAAGGAGACGCTTTTAAGAAAACTTTCCAAAAAAAATCTCAGCCTGGTGCGGTGGCTCACGCCTGTAATCCCAGTACTTTGGGAGGCTAAAGCGGGTGGATCACAAGGTCCGGAGATTGAGACTATCCTGGCCAACACATTGAAACCCCATCTCTACTAAAAATACAAAAAAATTAGGCAGGAGTGGTGGCGCATGCCTGTAATCCCAGCTACTTGGGAGGCTGAGGCAGGAGAATAGCTTGAACCCGGGAGGCAGAGGTTGCAGTGAGCCAAGATCGCCCCACTGCACTCCAGCCTGGGCGACAGAGCGAGACTCCATCTCAGAAACAACAACAGCAACAACAAAACAACCTCAGAACTTTTCAAAAAAAACTATTTTATTTTTTGCCAGAATTTTCCACTAAATAAATGTACCCTTTCTACTTGCTAGATGGTGGCATTCTAAAGAGGAATATTATTTCTTTACAACTTAATACTCTGGACTGGATGCCATATCCTTGGGAGCTTGTCAGTCTCTGAATTCAATAGAAGTTCAAATCCTGATTGTGAAAACTAGAGTCTTTTCCCGGGGAGATTAGCAGGGATATGGGTGACATCATGCTTTTGAAGGTTGGGAGCTGGGACCACAGGTAGTGTGGGTTTTGAATTGATAGAGCAGAGCCAAGCAAGTAGGGTCAGGGCATCACAAAAGAACCTGAGGTTGCCCTGGTACATAGAGTTAGTGTTCCGGGCCCAGTAATGAGGACAGTAAAATGCAATGGTTACTTTCTAAGCAGCGCTAGTCCCTTTGATTAATATAATTGAAGTCTTGATTCTTCTGGAAAACCATTAAAATGGAATGGTTTGCTAAGCCAGGATCAGCCTTTTCACTTATCACTGATGCAGGTACCTCCTCTTTCTAAATTGGCGTTGAAATGAGAAAGCTGATGAGGGTTGGAAGACCTAGAATAACTCAGCTACTCCTGAGATGCCAGCCCCCGCTTGTCTTTGAGAGAGCAATGACAAGTTGCATAAGGAGACTGAAGTTTTAATTTTGAGTTTTTGGTGACTCACATGCTTAGGCAGGCAATAATGATAACAGCAAACACATTTACAGTTCTTGCTGCGTGCTAGGCATTGCTCTATTCCTTTTGTATAAAATAAGTCATTTAATCCTCAAACAAAGAAGCAGTTTCTTCTTTTTTTTTTTTTTTTTTTTTAGACGGAGTCTCTCTCTGTCACCCAGGCTGGAGTGCAGTGGCACAATCTCGGTTCACTACAACCTACATCTCCCGGGTCCAAGCAATTCTCCTGCCTCAGCCGCCTTGGTAGCTGAGACTACAGGCATGCAGCACTATGCCCGTCTAATTTTTGTATTTTTAGTAGAGACGGGGTTTCACCATGCTGGTCTCCATCTCTGTGCTTCATCCCTGACAATCATTGGTAAGCTTGGAAAATGCTTTCAATAACACATTAGCACCAGCGACAGATCCTAAGACCTAAACTATTTGGGGGACCCTCTCTAAGAAAAACAATACAAAAGAAGGTATCCAAACGTAGTTACGAAAGTGAATGTCTATTTAGAATGAAAAAATAGATTGCAATAAATTATAATTTTTAAAAAGCTGCTAAGAACCAGAAACCTACAAAACCCCTCAAATGACAAAATGTTTTATTAATTCACTGCCTGGCACATCTCTATAATATTTTCTTCTATATCCTTTTGGCTACAAAACCTTTGATCACTTCTCGATATGACAAATGTTGTCATATTTTCCATAGAGAAAAATAGAAAAAATAATACCTAGTCTTTCCTCTATTGATTTAAATCTATGTCCTCTAATCAGTTGTGTAGAAAAGCTTCTCTCTGGTTTGCAACTGATTACTGGTAAAGTCATGTACATTTTTAAGATTGCTATCCTAAATTTTGAAGCACCTCTATCAAGCTTTTGCTTTTTTCATTCATAAACTGCTATAGACACCTTGCTTTTGTAGTACTGCTTCAGACTTGCCTATATACTCAGAGATAGATGTTGTGGCATGTGATTCTCATCAATACAGGAAAGAAAAATACGTATAGTATATTAAAATCATCTATGCTGCGTTTTCCAGTGTATTCCTGACGGGAAAGAACTTGTATTTTGACTAGTCTTCTTTGACAATGGAATTTTCTACTTACTGATAATTGCAAGAATGCTCCATAGACTATCTTCCCGCTCCAAACATTTCAAACCTTGTTTATCCTTCACTCTCCTTATACTTAAGAACATGGTTATGTCATGACATGGCCTCTGTCTCCTGCACCTTCCTGTCACGGCTCCCACTGAGTCAGCACAGTGAGCAATAGGAGTATCCCCAGCAACAGCTTAACTCTACTTCGAAGAGGCTACAACACACACAGACACATCCCACTAAACCCAAACTAAATGAATCTCCCATGCAACTCCCTAGAAATGCACGGACACACCATGTCACTGACAAATGAGGAAGAAGTGGGGGGAAATCAGAAATGGGTGGAAGAGAACAGGGTCTTAACTGATGGTGGTTCAAATATTTCTTACAGATTTTACAGAAATCTACAACCATAAGAACCTAGTTCTAGGGCCTTAAAAGGGCTGGTGCAAGTGAGGGCCCTGCCATGTAAGTTTCATTCCCTCTAGTTGGTGCTCAGGCAGGAAACGGGCCCATGCCCCAGGCCCTCCACCACGATGGAAAACCATTATACACCTCTGCCCTGAGGATCCCAGGAGCTTGAGAACAGTGAAGGGACAGGGCTGGCACCTGGCTCCCCAAAGCTGACCTTAGCTATGTGACTTGAGCAAGGTGAGTCGGGGACAAGGAAGGAACATTCATATCAGTATCACCCTGAGAGTGCTTTCCCTGCCTGCTGGCAAAGGATGTGGTGTGAGTGTGTATGTGTGTGTGATGGGAGAGGGCAAGAAAGAAAGGAAAAGCCATCTAACTTTTCTCATCCTCAACAGCTACTAGTAGTCACCAAAGAAGGTCTCTTCTGACATTGAATCTTAGTTCCCCATCACCAAGATAATCAACTTATTTATGTATGACCATTTTTTCTAAACACAACCATTTCTCCTTTATGGGCATGTACGTATGCATTCTGTGAATTGTAACCACAACAGACTACCACAAAGAGCCCTTTGGATCTGCCTCTCCCATCATCAGTTGTATGTTCAAAAGAAATAAAAATTAATATTACTGGTAGACCAAGTAAAATGCAGATCAACTGGTGGATCAGTTTAAGGCAGAAAGGTAACATAATATATCCCATAGCCAAACAGAAATTATTCTTGAAAATCCCGTTTGCTTCGGGCTCTTGGAGGAAGAAACATTTTTAGAGGCCTACTTTGTGCCATTCTTATTGTCTCCTCTAATCCTTACAATACTCCTGGGAGGAAGTATTTTTATTCGTATTTTGCAGATGATGACACAAGACCATAGTGGAGAAGAATAGCAGGAAGTGTTGGGCCTGACCGAGACCACACAGATAACAAGGGTCGTGTAACCCTCAAGCTTGTTTTTTCGCTACTCTAGATAGATAGTTGAAAACCCCATAGCCTCAAGTTCCCCTGATGGCCAGAGTCCTCCTCACCTAAGTGCTCAGCATGCAGAACTGTCACACTGGGCACCTGGACCCTGACTGGAAGCAAAGAGAGCCTTTTCTTCAGAACCCAACAAAACACCTTCCTTGGA